TACTAAGCTGAGAAGCACCAGCCATATCTACTCACCTAGTTTGCTTTTGATTCTCCCAGTAACTCTGATCTAGTTCTGGGATGTTTGTGGCTTCTGCAGTTTTTTCATCTTTAAAGGAGAGATATCAGGTAAGTCTTCAGGTCCTCATTGGGATCCTGCTCTGACCTCTCCTCTTAGTTCTTCAGTGAATCACTAACTACTCCATGCCTAGCTGCTGAACTCATTCTTACCTAAAGAAGGAGGCTAGTTTCCCATGTATAGGCACCAGGTTTTCATAGGCTATACAGAGCAGTAGGTTTCAGCCCTTCAATCCATAGCTGCCCCTGGAGAAGGGAAAATCTCATGGCCTCTTATGCAAGCCTGTCTTTGGCATGGTCTAAACTTGGGTCTGATCCAGCAGCGATTAGATCATGTTATGGCTGGCCGCCTCCTTTATAAATCAATTTTAGGAGCAAGGAGGCAGGAAAAGCTCAGGTCAGTGCACATGGCCCAGAGAGTTGCTTCTACTACTTCCAAGGCAGTATCTCAAGCTGAATTGGGGGTCCCTAGTACCTAGCCTAATGGGCCTTGTGACATGGGCCCTCTCACTTAGTCTGCTTACCTACTCTTCATATCCTTGTCTTCCCTTCCCAGCGCCTTTTTTCCAAGACTGCATCTCAGAACAGGACCTTGATGAGATGAACATCGAGATAATCCGTAATACGCTTTACAAGGTAGTGTTCTTCAGAAGTGGTGGGGTGGGGGATTGACTTGTCAGTGGATGGGTCGGTGGGTGTGACAGCAAGTGATTTATGTGAGATTCTGGGCCAGGATGTCCCTGCACCAGACTCCTTCTGGAGGCTTACTCTCTTACTCTCAGGTTCCTGCGATGGTGGCAGGGTTGCATGGAACAGGTTATCTATTCCGTGGTGTCTGCAGCAGGCTTAGATAAGATCAGCTGTAGTGGCTGCTGCTCTTGTCACTTGGCCTGTCAGAGCAAGCTCCTGGATAGCCACTCTGTAGCAATCAGGAGGGTCATGGGCCACCACCCAGGCCATAGCCCTCAGACCTACACCACATGAGCTTTTGCTAGCCAAGACAGGCACTTAGGCAAAGGCAATAAATACACTTAGTTATGTGGGGGAAGGATTCAGCCGGGCACAGCCAGTATATTAAGAGCCTTTCAGGTTTCCAGACCCTGACCCAATGCTGTGTATCTCATTATCTTCAGCTTCTACTTGCCTTTTGCTTCCCCTAGGCTGTGGCATAGACTGGCTAGCCTCAGGAGATACGGTGGGCTTGAGATTCATGGGTTCACACAGTCATTGTAGAGATTAAAAGGTAGCTAACAGTTAGGGCTATTTGGGAAAGGCTGAGTTCAGTTCGTGGTATGATTCTAAGCTGTGATGCCAAGACTCCTGGCAGACTTTCATCAGAAACATAGATTATCAATAGGCAAACCTTAAAGAGAAGCTGAGGATGACACTGGCTAAGGGACCTGTTGGCCTAAACCTGAGGATATCTGTCTATCCAATCTCCACTGGGGCATTGTGGGGCTAATCTTCTGCCCTGATTGTAGCTGGCTGTTAGACATTTGACTCAGTCTGAAGTTCTAGTCTTTCTGTGGGGCTTGGGCCAACATAAGTAAGGATCTGGAGGTAAATAATAGAAGTTAGGATAGTATAGGCAGAGGGAGGAAAGCAAGAAGCATGGGCCAGTCAGATGGCAAGGGTTTCACATGGATAGTGTGGAGGAGATCTGAAAGAAGAGGCAGGCACTGAGATGAGTCAAGTCACCCAGGGTCTTGAATAGCATGTCAAAAGTTTGAATTTTTAGCTCAGAGTCAGGTCCATACCTCAATATGCTCGGAAAGCTCAAACAAGAGGATTTTTGCCAAGTTCAAGGTTAGCTTAGTATATGTATTGAGTTCCAGGTCAGCCACATCTCCATAGGAAGAATGTGTCTCAAGAAAAAAAAGGTAAGCCAGGCATGGTGACCTTCAGTTCAGTACTCAAGAGTCAGAGGCAGGCATTTCCCTGTGAGTCTGAGTCTATGTAGTAAGTTTTGGGACAGCCAGGACTACACAGTGATACCCTGTTACTTTGGGCTGGCAAGATGGCCCAGGAAATGAAGGTGCTTACTGCCAAGCTATACAACCTGAGTCTGATTTATGGGACCCACATAGTGGAAGGAGAGAACCCACTAACTGCCTTTTGACCTTCGCACATACATGCACACAAAATAAGTAAAGTGTGAGCCTAAAGTCTTCTAACAGAGCCAAGTATTCTTAGAAGGCCCTGTATGCCTGCAGGGTAGAAGGCAGATTAGAGGTACATGCAAACATACATGTATTGTGTATGTTCAACTCATTAACACACACACACACACACACAGACACACACACAATATCTTATAGTATTCTCACACACTCAGCTGATCTATTGACAAATTCCTTGCCCCAGACAGAATGAGAGGTGTGGCTATCCCCCTAGCCTTACCCACACCCTCACTGGGCCTGACTGGTTTTAGCTGGAGTCACTGTCAAGGACTGCCCAGGAACCAGCTCATAAACATTGACTAACATTGTGGACCCCATGCCAGAGCCGCCTACCTGTCATGCAATGTCCCAGCCCAGTGGCCACAGATGGGAGATTAGGTGGGTCCACAGCTGTCTGGCACGTGAACTGTAGGCAGCTGGTGAAGCAACTATGGGCTGGCAGAACCTGGGGAGAGGGTAGGGTTGGAGAGGTGACCTTGGTACCTGGGTCTTGCCAGTTTCTTTACTGCTATGCCTCCAGAGGAAAGGGTAGACCTTAATCCTAGGGTCAGCTTCTCTGGAGATCAAAACAGCTTGGCTAAGGAAACAGGTAGGTATCAGGGCATAGAACCCAAAACTAGCTAGTGGTTACCCCACAGATAGGAACTACAGGCTGCGTTAGAGTAGGTCCTAAGATTTTAGCACAACCAGCTTGGCTGGCCATAAGGAAGGTCACAGAGGACTGAGTCCTGGAGGGACTCTGAAGTCCACCAATGTGGGAGGTGAGAGCCATTTCTGCCCACAGACTTTTGATTCTCTGTGATCCTCTGTGCTGGGCAGTGTTGTTTCTTTCCATGCTTTTCTTATTACTGACTTATATTGGCTTTTTGTTTCCTGTGAGCTCAGTGATCATCTGCAGGTTTTCCACTGGGCTCATTTTGTATAGTGTCACTGTGCTTTGCGGGGCTGTGGGTATCACTATCTATCTCTCTCTGAATGGCAGATCCTGTGGGTTCAAGCTAGCTTGGAAGGCACACCTGAATGTGGAAAGCTTTTTATACCTTGCAAACCCCCTGTATAAATCCAGTCTCTGTGATCTTAGGGGGGGTCTGAGTGAAGTTTCATGCAAGAGTGTTTCCCATGGAGTCTGCAAGCCCATGGTGGAAAGGAAAGAAACCTTGTGAATGAAAGTCAGAAAAGACCTTGTATCTAAGCTGACCTGTCCTCTCCTCATGCCCATCAGATCCAATTTGCCTGGACAAAAAGTACTTGTTTCTGCTGGCAGCCCATGTGCCCAGTTATTGACTGTGAGGCCTGTGTTCACATAGGCATTAACTATCCTTCAGCAGGAACTGACCTGATAATTTGGTTCCTGCTGTTGATGCTTAGGAGCTGGCTGGGGGTGGGAGGAATAGTTTTCCAAAGGTGGGTTGTTGCAAGGGAGGGCTTATGGATTCAGGCTAGACAGTTTGTAAACTCTGAGGATAACTTTCCCTTACTAGCCCTTGGATACCTAGTTTTCTGAGGCTGGGGAAGGGGGTGGTTCTGGAGTCTAGAAAAGTAAGACAGAGTTCTAGGAAGAAGACAGAGCCCTCTCTAAAATTGACAACAGAAAGGGTTAAGGATACGTACGCTGAAGTAGACAGTGGGCCAGAAACTGTTTTGTCACACCCACTCAGAAGGCAGTAAGCTACTGCTGCTTGGATGATTAGAATTTGGTAGATATTTTGGTAGAGGGGAAGTTGTCATAGAATGAGCTGGCCCATCTCTACCATAAAAGGCTTAGAGAGGAGAACAAACTGACAAGGTTTCAACTAAGTCCCCCAGCATTGATCTCCTTGCTCTAAGCAAACACTGGTCTTTTTATAGGCCTATCTGGAGTCCTTCTACAAGTTCTGCACTCTGTTGGGTGGAACCACAGCTGATGCCATGTGTCCTATCCTAGAGGTGAGTGCCTGCCCATCTCTCTGCTTTTTGTCCCCACTGATCTTTGCCAGGGTGAGCTCTGCCAACTGGCTGGCTATGGTCTCCCTCATCTTCCCTCTCTCCTCATCTGTGCACTGGTCCTGCAGTTTGAAGCGGACCGCCGAGCCTTCATCATCACCATCAACTCTTTCGGCACAGAGCTGTCCAAGGAGGACCGTGCCAAGCTGTTTCCACACTGTGGGCGACTCTACCCTGAGGGCCTGGCTCAGCTAGCTCGGGCTGATGACTATGAACAGGTCAAGAATGTAGCTGATTACTACCCGGTAAGTGCCCTGCCTGACAAGATTTAGGTTGGCACCCCCAGCGCCTGGCAGCACCCATACCTGTGCTTCTCCCCGTTTCTTGGCCAGGAATACAAATTGCTTTTTGAGGGTGCAGGTAGCAATCCTGGAGACAAGACCCTGGAAGACCGATTCTTTGAGCATGAGGTGAGCACAAGGCTCTTGCGGAGCCTACCCAGGCGGGAGGTTTGTGACTTAGGCCTTCATCTGCTGGCCACAGCCCCTGTGCATCACATCTGCATTTGTCCACAGGTAAAGCTGAACAAGTTGGCCTTCCTGAACCAATTCCACTTTGGTGTCTTTTATGCCTTTGTGAAGCTTAAGGAACAGGAATGTCGCAACATTGTGTGGATTGCTGAGTGCATCGCCCAACGTCATCGCGCCAAGATCGACAACTATATTCCCATCTTCTAGCATTCTAACCCAAGTTTCCCAAGTGCACTGTGTGTGTCTTTGTGTGCTGTGGAGAAGCCCAGGGCTCACTTATCTGACCTGGTGTAGCACACTGTCTTGGAACTGGTTGTCCAACTTCCATGACCCCCACCAGGACTGCTCTTAGGCCTGAAAGGGGGTTAGGCACCTATCCCCTGATCAAGAATGGACCAAGATCCCCTCCAGAGCAAAGTGCTCATGTCCCCCATACCCCTTTACAGCCGCTACCGTGTCTAAGAAATTTGTGTCACTTTCATATCCCTCCCTAACCAGAGAACCCCTGGGGCAGTGCAAGCCTCCTCACCCCTCTGTGGGTCATCCCCAGAACCATGGCCTGTGAGAATAGAGAATGTGTATTCTTGGGAGTCTGAGGAAAGTAGTTTTGCAGCCCTCTCCCTCAGCTCTACCCCTCTGAGACAATAAAATTGCCCTCTTTAAAAAGCCTACTGTTTGCTACCTCCTGGTCCTTTCCTTGGCTCCTAGCTTTGTTCATCACTGTACCCTTGCTGAGCCCTCTCCTGCAGTCAGCAGTCACAGCATCAGGGGAGTCCCTGGAGGGGGCTTTTTCTGCTGAGACCTTAGGTATGGAGATAGGCTGGGGCGGGGGTTGTTAGAGAGGATTTGTATCTTGGCTCTGTCTTCCCCCACCCTTGCCCAGACCTCCCAAACTGCTTCAACAAGCTCTGTAACTCCCTAAAGATGACCATTTCCTTCATCTCACTTCATTATGCAGAAACCCAGACATAGGGACAAATGATTTGCTTGAGGTCGGTAGAGGAGGTATATGAACCACATTGTGCCTTTGGGGTCCACTCAGCTACCCTGCTGAGTCCAAGGATCTCCCAGGAAGTTCCCAAACTCTTTCACATAGCCACACCCTGTCACCCAGGCAACCAGGCAGTCACCTCCTCCAAACAATGTATCTCTCTCATTCTAGGAGAAATAAAAATGTATCTTTATTTTAAAATGTCAACAAGCAGGCAAGTTCAATCTGTAGCTTCTCTGTGGCTGGGAGCAGGTAGTTGGGGATTTCAATCTTGAGCCAGTCAAGAGGCAGTTGGGATTTACCTTAGACTTGCAGCACTGAGGCCCTGGTGCCTAAAGAATCCTGAGGAGGTCTCCACCTGCCTAATCATTCTTACATTTGCACAGAAATGGTCTGTAGAGTCCTAGCAAAGGCTATAGCCAAATCTTACACTAAACTCTCTATCCATCTGGGTTCCCCAAGCTGCAGTGTGCAGATTGTACCCGGTAGGGGATGTGTGGGCTCATGAAGCAGAGGAGAGGTCCAGAGGCTTACTAGCAAACTCAGCTTCCCGGGCCTGGACTAGCCATCAGCAGTGGAAGCTGGGCTTCTCTTACCACAGATTCTAGGAGTTTGTAATGGCCATGGGAGAGGGCCAAGGGCTCATGGAGCCTCTCTTGCTGGAACACTGAGGCCTGTGGCTCACCGAGCTGCCACTGGGGAAGGGTTTGGGTCCTGGGGGGTGTCCTCAGCATGAGCAGGACCAGGTTGGCCAGGCCTCAGTGCTCGGGGCAGACAGTGACTGATGAAGAAGTTCTGCAGGAAGCGGCGTCGAAGGCCCTCTGGCAGGTAGTGGTGGATGAAATACATGAGCCCCAAGCCACGGCCTGTGTAGTAGCGGCGGCGTGGTTGAGCTGCCAACAGTGCATCAATGATGGCATCTACAACCGGGCTGAGGTCAGGCAATGCCATTCTGAGCGAATGCAGGAACTGCCCATGCAAGTGCTCAATGTAGTCTTCCCCATAGGCCTGCAGCAGCTCCCCAGGCAGGTTGGCCAGCAGCAGTTGCTTGCGCTTCTCCCAGAGATTCACATTAGTCACTGACTCTGAGGAAGGGGTGGCAAGATCAGAAGGCAGCCGTCAGAGGAGCCAAAGGCCATTAATGTGAGCTATGTCTGTGACCCAAGCCATGCCACATCATCAGCCCACACAGCCCTGCCCACCCCACACCTGAACCCTCACCTGTCTTGAAGCAGCCAGGCTGGATGATGCTGACCTTGATACCCCAGGGAAGCAGTTCACAGCTGAATGTGTCCATAAGCAGTGCTACAGCTGCCTTAGAGGTTCCATAGGCTGCCAGGCAGGGGTATGGCATGTCTCCTGGGGATGGAATGGGGATGAGGCTGCCCAGCCTTGGCCTGGGAGTCCTCAAATCACCTAATCACAGCTCCTTTACTACTTTGTCTCAGGACAGAAGGGCACTTACCTGCTGGGCTGCCAACGGTCACAATACGCCCCCTTGAGTGACGAAGGAGTGGCAGGAGGCCCTTGGTCAGCTCAAGCGCACCAAAGAAGTTCACCTCCATGCAGTTGCGGAAGGTTGCCACTGGAGAAAGCTCCACATCCGCGACCACACTGTTGAAGCCGGCATTGTTAACCAGACCCCACAGGCCTACGGGTACAAAGCCAGGAGGGGAGCCTCAGGTCAGCCTAACCGCAAATACTCAGTCCCTGCCTCCCTCACACCCAGCTGTGCCCACCACTAAGGGAGACACATCTGCTGACCAGTGCCAGTGGTGTGAGATTTGGTGAATTCCAGCACACGACTGATGTCTTCTGGCTTGGTCAGGTCCATCTGCAGCAGCTTTAGGCGAGGGGAACAGCAGCCACGCAGTTCTATGGCACCAGGGCTATTCAAATCCAACACAGTGGCCAGCACCGTAAAGCCCATGGCATCCAGTTTCTTGGCTGTCTCCTTGCCAAAGCCAGTGTCACAACCTAGCCAGGGTAAGATAGCCAATGAATTCCCACAATGGCCCAGCCAAGCCCAAGACAAGCCAAGGATCACCAGGGTGTGGGTGGAATCTAGGCTCCTGGACACTCAGCCCTCCCTCTTCCTTACAAATATGTGTTATAAGTTTGTCCTCTGGCTGAGCCCTGAGCATCAATTCTGTGACAGCTGTTATCTCCCTGATTCCCTATACAGCTATCCCATCAAATGTGACTGATAAACCTTACTTTACAGAAGAAACAGAGACCTAGTCCAGTTCCACTTGTCCCAAGCCATCTTGCCTAAGTCAGAGGGTTGTCTTCAAAACTGACAGCACCACTCTGCTGCTGACAATTCCCAGAGGCCTTTTGCTTCCTCAGGAACCTATGAGCCTTAGAATAAAGCCCAGATGACATCACCCTGGACCTGTTCAACCTGAGCACGCCTCTCAACACCCCTCCTTTGTTCCAGGCTCACGGCAGAGCCCCATTCCCAACTTCCCCATGATCTCTGCCCTTGGAATTCCAATCATTGACTTTAAGTATATATGTTTGCTGAGCCTTAGACCACTTCCCTCTCAGGCCAGGAACCGTGCATGGTAAGTGAAGAAAACAGACCTGCATTGGAATCCCTCCCCATACCACCAAGGGTGACCTGAGGTCGGTTACCACTCATGGAGGCTTCGTTTTCCTGTCCTTGGTATGCAGAGATAAGAACCACCAGGCAAGGCCCCAGTGTGGGGGTCCCTGGTACTGATAAGCCCTTGCTTCCTTGATGGTTTCCATTCTGATCCTGGCTCTGTGGGTGGCCAGTGAGAGGAGGAGGAGGGCCAGTGAGGGAGGAGGTGCTGTGGAGACCGCCAGCCCCGAGGTCCTGCTGAGCAGAAAAGCTGCTTTGCAGCTCGCTTCCCCACTCCTGGACAAACAGCACCCCTCCTCATCTCAGCCCCGCCCCCTATGCTGAGAGGAGAACAAAGCTGGGCAGGGGGCTGCAAACTGGGCTTTGTGTGGCTGGGGCCTGCCAGTCTGTGTTGAGGGGTCCTTCCCAAGCAAATCTGACTGGGGGGAGGGGAGTGTGTGTGCACAAATAGACACACTTGCCTCTGCTTTCTTCTGGAGCAGACAGCATTCCACTAAAGCTTCCCAGAGCCTCAGCTCTGAGGTCCCAACACACCCCCACATCTTAGCCTCTTGCCCACCTGCAAACATCCCTAACCTTCCTGGATGTTCACACATGAGCTTACCCCCGTCACCCATCAACACAAAGATATACGCATGCATGCACACAAGGTACCAAGCCACACAGCCCAAACTTGACCCCGTGGCTGAGCTTTTGTGGAGTAGGTTTGGCAAGCAGTGCGTGGGCATTCTTGGGGAGGGTTAAGTGACAGCTCTACAGGCAGAAGGGCACAGTGTTCTTGGCAGGTGGGGCAAGACCTGGTCACTTAAGTGTCTTGCTGCTTAGTGGTGGCTGGGAAAGCCCCAGAATTTGCAGCCACCGGGAAGCTAGAAGCCAACTTCCAAGCTTACACAGGAATAGGCTGAGCCGTCCTGTTCTCCCAAGCACTGAGCTTGCAGAGATGGAGAGAGCCCGGGGCACATCCCTCTTCCCACCTCTTGCTCAGGCTCAAGACTAGAAGAAGTAGCAGCAGCAGCAAAGACCTGAGGTGAGATTTTAGGAAAGATTGCCCAGCCGGACCAGTAGAACCTGAAGTGGCCTAGGACCTGGTGAAGTCGCTCACAGAGTAGAGGACAGGATCTGTTGCATTGTAGGCAGAGCCTATAACCTAGTCCCTGCTTCATTCCGAGAGAGTCTGGTAGCTTTCCTTCCTCAAACTCCTGAAACTGGGGTTCCACGAGGCTTCACACTCACTCTGGAGTCCTACTCAATCTCCACCCTTTCTTCTGAAGCCGTAAACCTTTGTGCCACCCTCCTCTACCTTAATACGATCTGGTTTCTCACCTGCCATTCAAGTCTCCTCCCAAGGCAACTTCCCATCCCACCACATCTCCACAGACAGACACCTTTCTGCGATCCCAGACACCTTTCATAGTCCACCTGTCTCCACCAACTTTCCCCAAGGTCCTGTTCAAGGATTTCCTCCTGAGTTCTTCCAGCCGCATCCGATCAAGCAGACCACCCATAAAAGGACCAAGCTCTTTGAGAAGCCATGGTGGTTGGGGGAGAAACAAGGCTGCCCCTCCTCCCATGCAATGGACCAATGCCCCCTGGCCTTCCTCCCCCTCCCCATTTCCTGCTGGGTCTGCAGCCCCCCTTCCCCTACCCTCCCTCTGATGACAGATTTATTCCCTGCTCCAGACAAAGAGAGCTCAGCCAGGCACCCGAGACACCTGAGTCCAGCTCTCCAAAGCCCCTTTCCTGGGCACCCCAGGACAAGGCAGGATGAAATGCTAGGTGTAGAACGCAGACCGCTGCAGTTTTTTTGGCAAAAGGGTAGCTGGATCTAAGAAGCAGCTCCTATGCAGCTGCTGTGACCTCAGGCGGTTCTGAACTCCAAGGATTCCAGCCGATGGAGGTCAGGGGGAGCAGAACGCCATCTGAGCTCTCTGTCCCTAGAGAACAGCAGACAGTGTGTTCCAGTGACGTGGGGGTGTCAGGCAGAGTTCAAGAAATGGCATTCTTCCTCCTCAGGTCTTCCGAGGTCCCCAAGAGTACTGTCGTCTGCTCCACACCTGGCTTCTTAGGGAGGAGCACAGCATACCCTTCGTCTCTTCGCCTCTTCTCTTTCCGTCACTAGTCTCCTTGAGCACCTGCCCACTCTCCCTAACTTTCCCTCCAATACTTTGCGCGGCTGCAGGTAGTTAACCCAGACTTGGTGAGGTGCCCGGAGCTTCCTACTTGGCTCACTCTCTTGCTTGCAGGGGAGGACTCTCACTTCCGAGGCGCGGAGTCGGCCTCGATGGTGCCCAAGGGAAACCCTCTAGGTGTGCGGTCCCGCCCTCCAGCCTGGAGTCCCCGCGCTCCGCGCACTCACCGGTGATGAGCACCGCGCGAGTGGCCACGGGCAGGCGAGGAGGGCGCGCCAGGCGGGACAACGCGATCCAGCCAGCAGCCGCTAGCACCACGAGTGCCGCCGGCGGGGGTAGCAAGCGCTGGCATAGCCAGTCGAGCGCGGCCAGCAGCGCCAGCGCCGCCAACAACGGGCGGCCCAGACGCAGGTCTGAGCGCAGCAGCTGCAGCAGCGCGCGGGCCGCCACCAGCAGCCAGGCGCCGCCCGACGGCCAAGGCCAGCGCTCCATGACTGCGGGGCCGGGCCGGGCCGGGGCGGGGCTGGGGCCGGGTTAGGGAGCGCGGAGAGGGACTCGGGGCCGGGACACAGAGTGCAGAGGAACACCAGCCTGGAGTGGAAGGGTTACTCGCTTTCTTTACAGTCCCTCGAACCCAGCTTATAAAGCGCCATGTGGGCGGGGCTGGGGCGGGGCGAAGGCGGGGCCAGGGTGGGGCTTTCTTGCACTTCTATCTTAGCACCCCTCTCCAGGCAGGTGCCCCCCCCGCCCCGCCCCCTCGGCTAGATCCGCTTTCGAACAAAGTCCCAAGTTGTACGAGGCGGAGCCGTCAGTCGCCAGCTTCGCCAAGGAAAGGGCCAGTCCGCCCAACCCTTTGCCCTGCATCTCATTCACTCCCGTGCGCCTATTGGCACGCGAAGAGCTCCGAGCCTCCTCAGGTGTGCACATCCTGCTCATCCTTCCTCAGGATACCCCACACACACACACACACACACCACCACCACCACCACGGCCACCACCAATAACAACTTTCATTCAAGTATTCCGCATCGATACCGATACCGCTGTGACTGCCATGACTTCCAGAACAGCCAGAGTCTGCCGTGGCCACACCCGCACCCGCACTCAAACTGGGATAGACGCCCAAACGTGCACTCTCGCCTGAGCAGTTCTCGGCCACAGCTAGGAGGGAAGCGTGACCACAGAGATCCTTGGAAGTTTCTGTTTCACCTCCTCATTTTCATGGTGGTGGGTATGGGTGGGAAGTCAATGGAAGCATCAAAGTCTCCTCTTGCTTTTGCTTCACGCACCCCCTCTCCAGGGAACACCTGGAAGGGAGTCAGGGCAGGGTGGTCCCCGCTCTGCTTCCCTGAGTCCCCAGGGGATGAGATAAGTGGTGTGTGGGTGCGATTCCCTCCCTGCCTGTAGGAAGGTCCTTGTTTGTGTGTGTGTGTGGCCTGGCACCCCCTGCCACCCCCGTGTCTGGCACCTTGTGCCTAACATGCATGCCAGGGCTCTGGCAGGCATCGGGGGCTAGTGCCAATAGCTGGGTGCCAGGCCCAAGGCAAAGAGTAGGTAGGTACAAACCGTGGCAATGGAGATCCCAGCTTCTGCGAACCTCCAGCCCTTGCCCAGTTCCTCACCTCTATCCTTTCTAGGTCCTGAGAGGTCATGGACACCTTATCACAGCTTTTTATCCTGTGGCTCCTGGGTCCAGACTCTGCTCCCACGAGTTATGAAAACACCCTTCCAAAGCCCTCTCTTCTACTCAGATGTGGGTTCCCGATGGGCCAGAGATATCTCTGAGAAGAAGCTGGAGACCAGATCCACTTGAGAGGGGGAACTCTGGGTGGAGAGCCCATCTCCACCCAGAGCCACTGACGTGTTTCCACCTGTCCTCTCTCCATAAATATGGACAGTGGCCGAGCCCTGGCCTGGGTGGCTGGGCTTGCCTGAGTAAGGTGTGCGTGCCTGACCTTGGGGATGTGGCCTCCAGCGCTTTGGTTTATATGCATGGGGTTTATATCCATGGGGTTCTACGCCCTGTGTCGCTGCTTTATGTGTGCTTGTATGTGTTTCCTGAAGCTCCCCTTCTGCCTGGGTCATCTTGCTTCTAGAAATTCAGAGAGACAATCCTTTTCCAAACCCACTGAGTCCTGTTGCCCTGAGTCAATTGGCCAGGTCCAGAAGTGAGCAACATACCCCACTTTAACTGGAAAAGTTGAATTGGTTGGCTCTTCCACATCTGGCTACCCTCCTTAGGATCCAGCTGCAGCTTCTCCAGTCTCTGCCCTTTTAAGTACTTTTCCTGTGGTAGAAAAGGGAGAAAGAAAGTAGAGTCCCAGGGGGACCAGCAAGGGTACCCACAGTGCCAGTACTCAGAGCAGTAGAAGCAAGAAAGCAAGGTGAGGAAGAAACTGGGAGGCAGGGCTCTGCCCTGGTCCCATAAAGGATACGGGGAAAGCCCAGGGTGGGGACAGAGGGAGACTGGCTGAGAGAGGATGAGGAGATTCCCTTTCGGCAGAATGCTTCTAGAAGAGTGTACCACTTCAGGCAAAACTATTTATTGTAAGCCCTGATGAGACTGGAGGACCTGCCACATTTATGTGACCCCCCCCCCCACACACACACACATGCCATTTTTCTAAATCAGGAGACCATCCCAGGGTCTGGCTCTCTGTGGCTTCCTCAGCCACTGACCCTTTCTCCTCATCAGGTGGAGGTGCGCTACAAGTGCAAAGTGTTTCAAATAGTCATAACCGGGAGGGGCTGGCCCAGCCCTGGCTGAGGCCTGGTGCCAGGTTGAGCCTGCCTTGGGGTACAGAACCAGCTTCTGCTGGAATCAGGACTCTGGGCTGGTAGGGACCTCCCTGGAAGAAAGGGGAGTGGGGCAGAGGGCAGGAGCCCTAGCAGGTAAGGCAGGGCCTAGAAGGGCAGGTTAATGAAGGGTAACCAGAAGGAGCAGAGCTTCTGGAGCCACCTGGTCCCAAGCACTCAGACCACAGCCTTAATCCTTTGTCCCATCGCCCAACTCCACCCCAACCCCATTGGTCAGAAACCTGGTCAGCCAACCGTGGCCTGCCCCAGGCTCTGGAGGACCAAGGGTCTGGAACTAGAAGCTGGCTGGCTGTGCGTTGGTGACCTGTGACTCACTAGCACCACCTTCTGGCTTTCTGGGAGGGTGCATCTGTAAAAGCACCTTTTCCTCTGCGCTTGGTTTTTCCTCTGTGGTCTGACTCCGACTCACTTCAATCCTGGGGCCCTACACATAGGATACTCACAAACTCTTCTCTCCTCGCTGCTGTGGCAGAGGGGCTGTTTCCTGCCAATAACTAGTTCTTTCACTGTGTTCTAGACCTCCACTCACACTCTCCTCACAAGAGTACGGTTCTTTTCATACTGGGTATTTCTGTTCTGGGCCTAATGCATACCAGGCACACACTCAAATACTGGAGAGCAACATCCTCGGTCTAAGATAAGCTCTCTCTCTCTCTCTCTCTCTCTCTCTCTCTCTCTGTGTGTGTGTGTGTGTGTGTGTGTGTGTGCATATTTGTGGAGACCAGAGGTTAACACTGGGTGTCTTCCTCCTTTCCACCTTATTTTTTGGGAGAGGGTCTCTCACTCAGCCTGGAGGTCACCAATCCAACCAGACTGTCTGGTCAGAAAGCCCCTGGGATTCACCTGTTTCTAACCCTCTAGGCACTGGGGTTCCAGATAGGTGCCACCAATCCTAACCTTTATGTGGGTTCTGGAGATCTGAACTCAGATCCTCATGCTTGCACAGCAAATGCAAAACCCCTTCACCCCAATAGAGCAACTTTTTATTGACTTCCTACTGGATGCCGGGCCCTGTGCTTGGACCACGGATAGACCATGACCCACTGGCCACTTCTCAGCAGCCTCTCTCATTGGCATCCTCAATCCTGCATCCTTTTCCTCAGGCGTTGTTTTCATGGGTCCTCTCTTCTCAGCCTCTTTTGCCCTGCGTTATTTTAGGTGCCAGTGCTCTTTTCCACTTCCCAGGTTATCCCAGGGGTCAGCTCCTACTCCTAACCTTACCAGGCTGCCTGTTCCTTGAATCTCAGACCCATTTCTGCTTTCCGATGTCTTGGTCTCCTCGAAGCCTCTGTTCTGCTGGCCTCTCTTGATGTTCCCAGCTTTGTCTTTCTTTGATGCTTGTAAAGCCACACTGCTGTTCCCTCTGCCCCTCACCCCAGTTCTCTGCCCTTCTTCAGCCTTCTTCATAAACCTGTCTCCCTTGTGGATGAGCGTCTGGCTGTGGAGGCCTCACGCTCACCTCCTCCACCCATGACCTCATCTTCCCGCTCACATGCTGGCTCTCCAGCCGTGGCCTCCTTCTTGACTCCAGGCCCACGCATGCAGCTGCCCTGGATGCCTCCCTTAGACACCATGAGCCAGTTGCACTCAACATGTCCAAAGTAGGTCTCATCATCTTCTTAAGTCCTGGCAGACATCTTCCCAGCATATCCTTGAGTCCATATGCTGGCCTCCAGGCTTCTCGTGTTCTGAGCTCTGGGCTTGGTGCAGAAGCCTCATGATAGCCCTTTGTAGAAGGTCTGATTGTCCTTATTTTACCTTCAGGGGAAGCGAGGCTCTTAGAGGCTGAGGGTCTGAGTGCTCTCAGACCCTGCTCAACATTGAAACTCTGGTTTAAGTGCAAAGTCTGTGCTTTTGAGAACTGTGTCCCCATGTGGCTTGTGGACTTCATTTTACAGGCAAAAGGAAACACGGTGTGGTCTTGAGCAAAGGAGACCTCTGTCCCAGATGGCCAGGAAGTAGATTTGGGGGAAGGTGCAAGTCTGAAGTCTTGTTGCTGCAGCCAGGTGAGGGACGAGAACAGAGGTATTATACAGACAAACTGAGCCCAGGGTGTCTGTAGCTATGCAAGGGCTGAGGCCAGTGGCAGTTGGATGCTTGTGGGCTAATGGGACCTAGATAGAAGCCCTGGAGAGTACTAACTCGCCTCTAAATACCCTGGACATGAGTCAAAACCCCTCTCTCTTCTCAGAGGTATCCTATTTAGTGTGAGCACCTGGAGATTTTGCCCTTTAGTGACGTGGGGGAGGGGCAGTAAGATGAAGGCTACACCAACATCACTTGGATTCCCAGACGGTTTCTGTGACTCTCTCCTGAATTATTTTATGGCCTCCCAGATTGAAGGCAGATGTTTAGAGAGTAGGGTCCCGGAAGGTGGGAAACATTTTGTACTCTGCAGAATTTTCTGGATCAGCCCCAGGGGAAAAGCAAGGCCCAGCTGAGAGGTCTCTGGGAGACTATTTAGCAGGCTCTGAGTCAGATTTCTTTGGGGTGACTTATCTGTAATCTTTTCCCATTTATTTTGTGTATTCTGTGTGCCAATCCTGTGTTCAACTTGTGCTTCATCTACTGTTCTTGCCTTCCTTCGAAGCAGACACTATCATTAGCCTTTCTACAGAAGGACGTGGACTCAAGAAGAGTTCAGCACTGTGTCCTCATCAGGGTTTCTAAAACCT